CCATGCATGCTTAAACTCCTTTACTGTGTTAACCTCTACCACTTCAGCTGGAAGGCTATTCCATGCATCCACTACCCTCTCAGTAAAGTAATACTTCCTGATATTATTTTTAAACCTTTGTCCCTCTAATTTAAGACTATGTCCTCTTGTTGTGGTAGTTTTTCTTCTTTTAAATATAGTCTCCTCCTTTACTGTGTTGATTCCCTTTATATATTTAAATGTTTCTATCATATCCCCCCTGTCTCGTCTTTCCTCCAAGCTATACATGTTAAGATCCTTTAACCTTTCCTGGTAAGTTTTATCCCGCAATCCATGAACCAGTTTAGTAGCCCTTCTCTGAACCCTCTCTAAGGTATCAATATCCTTCTGAAGATACGGTCTCCAGTACTGTGTACAATACTCCAAGTGAGGTCTCACCAGTGTTCTGTACAATGGCATGAGCACTTCCCTCTTTCTACTGCTAATACCTCTCCCTATACAACCAAGCATTCTGCTAGCATTTCCTGCTGCTCTATTACATTGTCTGCCTACCTTTAAGTCATCAGAAATAATCACCCCTAAATCCCTTTCCTCATATGTTGAGGTTAGGACTCTATCAAATATTCTGTACTCTGCCCTTGGGTTTTTACGTCCAAGATGCATTATCTTGCACTTATCCACATTAAATGTCAGTTGCCACAATTCTGACCATTTTTCTAGTTTACCTAAATCATTTGTCATTTGGCTTATCCCTCCTGGAACAGGAGTGTAACAGTTATCAGTTGTGTAACTATAAAGTTTTCCAATGAACCCCGGCACCCCGCTATTATTATTATTATTTTATTATTTATATAGCGCCATCAGATTCCATAGCACTGTACAATGGGTGGACTAACAGACATCTCATTGTAACCAAACAACTGGACGTACAGGAACAGAGAGGTGTAGGGCCCTGCTCAATGAACTTACATTCTAGAGGCAGTGGGGTATAGTGACACAAAGGGTAAAAGTAGGGGTACGAAGTAGGTTGTTGGAAAAGTATTAATTGAGGGCTTAGTGGGTAATTTTTGACAGTTTCAGGAGAGGAGTCATGGAAGGTGGGGGATAAAAACCTGCTAACAGTTTAATTGATATGCTTTCTTTAAGAGGTGAGTTTTCAATGATTTTTATCTCCAGACCTCCTTTAGCTCTAAGCTTGCAATACTGGTACCAACTTAAAATGCTTCCATAGTGGTGCTCTGTGGAAAAAGAAGGGTAACTATTACCTGAAACTCTCTCTTTGACTTGACCACAGTCTTGACCTGGGTTAATATACCTGTTTCTTCATTAATAGTGTAATCTCTATGTAACGGATCACCAGGCACCCTGACTTGGTACCTCAGTTTAAAGATGCTCCTAGCGTTTCCTGAGGGCTCCAAGCACTCTAGCAATCACCACAACCACTGCAGGCTGAACCTCTCTTCCTTCAGAGCGAAGCAGGAACAAGCTCTTAAAAGAGTTTAGGAGTGAATATAGCAAGGGAATATGCAAAGCATAGCAATCCCTTGTAGCAGATTCCCCCAATCAGAGACAGGACTCCAAATTGAGGGTGACAATACGTACAATTCACTCAGACACTCCCAGCAATTACACACAAAATCCTCCCCTCTGCCTGTGATATAATTACTGAACACAACAGACTAACGTAATTATCATAGGCAGATAAATACACAATTTTACACAATAGTCATAACTTTAAAAGTATACATCACATAAAACTTACATTTTCAGAATCAGCATACTCCAAATACAAACATATGTCAAAATCATACAAATTGGTCCAGTGGTTCAAAAGCTAGTTCGAAATCCCTTTTTGACCAACTGCAAGCATGGCTTGGGTGTGGTAAGCCAATTATCTCCAGCATACAGAAAATATCTCCATTTACAACAACAGTAAAAACACATAAAAATACATAGTTCCTATCATACTGAACAGAACCCCCACATTCAACCTATCCCCAGATAGCTTGGATCTGAGCGCTCAATATATCCGAACAGCGCTCAGATCCCACGAACAGAATAAAATCGCCATGGGGTTTAAGTTTAACAAGGGCCATACACAATCCAATAGAAGCCCATAAGCCCCAAATGCTGTTTTTAAAGTGCCCAACACACTGCCTCTGGGGAGGAAGGACGACACCTTCAGCTCCCTGGGATACATACTGCCGCTGGCGAGGAAGGACGACACCTTCAGCTCCCAGGGAAACATACTGCCGTTGGGGAGGGGAACCGCCTGTCCCCACTCCTGGTAAAGCTTGCGGTGGCTGGGGATCTGGGCCGGCTACCCAGCATCACTGGAGGGCCGGTAGAGAGACCTCAGTCCCATCTCCACCTGCAGGCTGGGGGTCCTCCCAGGACCAGTCTATGAGGTCCGCTACCTTGGGTACCTCTGGTTGCTGTTGGGGAAGAGGACCGGTTGTCTCTTCCCGGGCCTCATTGATGAGTCGCAGGTAATCCCACTCCAGGTTCCATTCCTTGGTGACCAAATACCATAGGTCTGCCTCGAAGTCAAAAGCGCTAAGGAGACCCAGCATGTCTTCTCGGTCTTAACACAGGTCCCAAAAACGAGAGTCGGTAGCTTTTCCGATGGCCTCATCGTCAATATTATCCCAAAATAGGGGGTGTGTCCTAGACTCCGGAGCGAGCGGTCGCATGTAGCCGGAGCTCCGTGCGGCACAGGCCTACACAAGCTGCGAAGCGGGTGACCCGACACCGCAAAGCCAGAGGGATAAAGATGTCCCAACCTAAACACCGCCGGCAGACTGAGCGGGGCGAAAAATCCAACTTCTTTGGCATTAAGGCGAGCCAAACACGAGGATCTGGCCCGCATGGCGAAAATCAAGATGGCGGCGAGGAAGAGCTCATTCCCTCCCCAGACCAGGCGGCTGCCGACTTACCGGTCACGCAGGGGATCCTGCAGGCGATGCTGGACACTATGGCAGGCAAGTTACAGCTCACATTACAAAATGCAATCCACTCCATTAATGCAGATGTAAAAGAGCTGGGGGACAGGACGGCCGGGCTGGAGGACAGACTGGTGGCATATGAGGAGGCCCAAAATTCCATGGCAGCAAAACTAGACAGCCTCACAGAAAGAATGGAAGCACAGGAGGGGAAAACCGCGGACCTTGAAGACAGAGGTCGGAGAAACAACCTCCGTATTAGAGGTATAGCGGAAAATATAGGCCCGACAGAACCCTAGTGGGACTATTCAAAGCGCTCACCCCTGACGTGCCCCCAGACATGTTCCTGATGGACCGGGCTCACAGAGTGCCAAAACCCACCTTCTTACCACCTGAAACCCCTAGAGATGTGTTGCTGAGAATGCATTACTTTCACATAAAGGAAGAGGTAATGAGAGCAAACAGAACCAGAAAAAAAACAGACATGCCGGCGGCGTACCAGGCAATAGCAATTTATGCCGACATCTCAGCATACACGCTTAAACGCAGGAAGGATTTTGCAGGAATCACGACGCAACTCCGCCAACAATAAATACCATACAGATGGGGATACCCGGTGAAGCTGATCTTACAGAGAAACGGAAGACCAACTACAATACAAAGCCCAGACGAAGGAATGAAAATCCTTAGAACCTGGGGCATAGAAATTCCGCCCGCAACGAAAGAGACTCAAAGACTCCCTCCATCATGGAGGAAAGCCAAACGCTAACTCGTCTCGCTGGGAGGGTGCTGTGTCGCCGAGCCTGAGAACTGTTAATCCAGCCATGTGAATCCAAGCTTGTATAACATTTGCTTTGTTAACTTTTCTATGTTTAATGGCAATGTAAATAGGAGCTACACTATAGATGTGCATGCAAAGACGTGGGGCATGGCAACTGTGGGGAGGGCGGAGGATGTAAAGGGACATATGTAATCTGAGGAACAAGGCTAGATAGGGGCCTGGGTCATGGATATAGTGACATGGAGACCAACACCGGGGAAGGCCTAGGCAGGGGAGCTCACATTCGCGCCCCCCCCCCACAGACCCCCCAGAAAGCTCCGCCAGATTACTATATAGAAAAAAAATATATATATATATATATTCATTTTTATTACACTATACCAACATGCAATCTCAGGACACGGGCAGGCAGACAGCGACAGCCCATCCACGCAACCTTTTCAAAAAAAAAAAAAAAAAAAGGGTCACCCAGACAAAAGCGAAACATGAGAGCAAAGGCCGCGGCCGACGAACCGCAGCCAGGACAGGAACCATTAGTTCCTACCCCCACCGCACCACCACCTGGTGCATAGCCGATATTTCGGCAAAAAAGTTGATTTGTTATAGTTTACCCATTTCTGTTACCTATTATGTTTTTATGTTTGTATTCATGTGTGCACCTCATGCACCCCTCCCACTTGCCAAGCACTCCGTAAGCTACCGACCAAGATCAGATAGAGCGGAGATCATGCCGCTCTCTCCCTCTGAACCTAGAGACATGCGAAATAGCCCTCCGGTTACCCGGGGACAGCCCTTGAGTTCGGAGGAACTGGGACACAGGGACTCCCCGAAATATATATGTCGAACACAAGCACAAATACCATCTTATGACCACCTCCCACCCTGAAAATCTACTCACACAACGTTAGGGGACTGAACATCCCGGTTAAGAGACACCTCCTATACCGAGAGATCAAACATAAAGCAGTAGACGTTCTATGCCTTCAAGAGACACATTTCATGACCAACGCACACCCCACCGTCCTACAGAAAGATTATCCTATACAAATCCACACCACATCGGCTAGCAAAACCAAAGGCACTTCCATACTAATTAGCAAAAATGTAGCCTATGCCCCGCATTCCCAACACATTGACCCGGACGGCAGATACGTCATTATAGTAGGCACGCTTAATGACATGCCCTACACCATAGCGAACATATACGCCCCCAACACGAACCAACGCAACTTTTTACATAAAATTATACAGAAACTGCAGTCAGTGGTGCAGCTAGGGACGACAGTCATATGTGGCGACTTCAATCATGTATTTGACCCCTCCATAGATACGACACTAGCTCCAGCTAGAAAGCGCAACGCACCCCTCCGCAAACAAAGTAAAGCACTCTGCAAGCTTATACACAATAACCATCTGTATGATGTATGGAGAGCCACTCATGTAGGGGAAAGAGGGTACACATTCTTTTCGACAGTGCACAACACCTACTCCCGCATTGATGGCTTCCTTATCTCAGGGACAGGGATAGACCAAACGGCCCAGTGCGAGATAGGACAGATTACATGGTCCGACCATGCCCCGGTAGAGTTAACGTTGAAAAACTTCTATGACCCGACCCATAGAAGCCCGTGGCGCATAAACACAACATTACTGAAAGATAGTGCCTTCTGCACGGAGCTGAACCAAAACTTAGCCCAATATTTCCAAGACAATGATAGGCCTGAAACGAGCCGAGGTACCCTGTGGCAGGCCCACAAATCGGTGATACGGGGACAACTGATACCGCGGGCAGCATACTTAAAACGGAAATCCCGCCTTCAGCTTCACACATGCCAAACAGACCTCCAGCGTGTCACGACACAAAACCAAATAACTCCCTCACACGAACTGCGGGAACAAATCATGAAACTCACAAGACAGATACACCAAATGTCCTTGGAACAAGTGGGATACCACCTGAAAAGGCTAAAGGCACAAAACTACACACAGGGAAACAAGGCAGGTAAACTGTTAGCACAAAGATTAAAGTCACAACAAGCAGCCCAAAAAATAGCATACTTGCTGTCTCCAAGCGGACAGAAAATAGTGGCACCCAAAGACATTAGCAACGCATTCGCCAAATACTACGAAGCACTGTACAATCTCAGGGACGACCCAAATACACCCCAACCACAGGGGGCCAAAATAGCCTCCTACTTAGACAAGATCGCCCTGCCCAAACTTACACCCGCTCAGCAAGATAGCTTGTCCGCATTGATAACAGAAACGGAGGTGATGAGAGCGATTGACTCTCTACCTTCTGATAAAGCCCCAGGTCCAGACGGGTTTGCCAACTGTTACTACAAGTACTTCCAAAGAACCCTAGCCCCTCACATTACTAATGCTTTTAATGAAGCAGCCACGAAACACGCACTCCCGCCAGAAGCCCTCAAAGCTCACATCATTACACTGCCTAAACCGGGCAAGCCACCAATCCACCCACAAAATTTTCGACCGATATCACTACTGAACACAGACACAAAACTCTTCGCGAAAATATACGCCATCAGACTGGGCACGATCCTCCCACACCTGATAAGGAACGATCAAGTAGGATTCGTTAAAGGGAGACAAGGGGGGGACAACACGAGAAAGGTCATCGACATTATACATAGCGCCCACAGGCAACATACAGAATGTGTAACGCTCTCACTAGACGCGGAGAAGGCCTTTGACCGCCTGAGCTGGAGGTTCCTGAAAGCGGTCCTGGATAAGTTTGGGATGCCGGGGCATTCTGCTCGGCGGTGGAGGCCTTATACAGCAAACCATCGGCACAGGTGGTCACGGCGGGCTTCACTTCGGAACCATTTAGCATCACTAACGGAACGAGGCAGGGATGCCCACTCTCCCCCTTACTATATGTGTTGGCTTTAGAGCCACTAGCGGATACAATACGGGCCAACAGCTCCATACACGGAGTAATAGTGGGCGACAGGGAATACAAAATCAATTTGTTTGCGGACGATGTCATGCTGACACTAACGCAACCCCAAATTTCACTACCAAACCTCATGGAAGTCATTAAAGAATACGGCCTTAACTCCTACTACAAATTAAATGTCGCTAAATCACAGGCTATGGGTGTGGGAGTCCAGTCTCACCGACTGAAACACTTGAGTGAGCTTTTCTCATTCGACTGCAGGAAGGATTATATTACCTTCTTGGGCGTCCATATACCCCCCCACCTACCCCATTTGTTTAAGTTAAACTTTACTAAACTGATCAAATCATTTACAGACACGCTACACGCATGGGAGAGTAAATATCTCTCGTGGCTGGGCAGACTGGCGGCGATTAAGATGTCTATACTTCCCAAACTCCAGTACCTGCTGCGCACGGTCCCGATAAGTTTGTCGGGCCAATACATGAGCACAATCCAAAAGCTGATCGTACGGTTTGTGTGGGCCAACCGCAAAGTGAGGGTGGCCAGCAAGCTCTTACAAAAAACGATCAAAGAAGGGGGACTGGGCATGCCCAACATCCATTCTTACCATAGAGCCACATTGCTGACTGCCATAGCAGCGACAAACGCAGTAGAAGACCCCCCCCAATGGGTCCACATAGAAACACACTGGGCATGCAAACAGGGGCTGCGACACCTATACCAGCTGCCATACAAACTACGACCGCCATACACAACCATGTTACCAACCACGGCAGCAATGATCAAAACATGGGACTCTGTGAGGGCATCACTGGGCATGGTCGGACCAACTATAGGGAATATCCCACTCACGAGCATCTCAGTGGGCATACCGACGTTTGACCACACCCCCTGGGTGAGAGGGGGATGTACCCACCTTAGCCAGTTATGTGGGAACAACGAGTTACTGCCGTTCCCAGAACTGCAAACCAAGTTCTCCTTGCAATCCAGACACATATTCCCTTACCTCCAACTGAAATCATTTGTGGCCTCACACTGCAAGGGATCATGTGCCGAACCACCAAATATTGGCGCCTTAGAACAGATATGCCTACAGGGCAGTATACCCAAAAAAATCCTGTCGAAACTATATGCACTACTGAATACAGTAGGTACAAACAGACACAGAGACTTTAGAGAAGCCTGGCAGAAAGACATAGGACGCCCAATAGCAGACCTAGACTGGAAACAGGCATTCCAAACGCACAAAGGGCACACATCTTGCGCGACTCATCAAGAAACAATGAGGAAAATTATGTACAGATGGTATATGGTCCCGGACAAACTAGCGAAACTATACCCTGGAAGCTCAGGGGAATGCTGGAGGAGGTGCGGAGAAAGGGGGACAATGTACCACATTTGGTGGACTTGCCCGATAATCACTCCCTACTGGGCGATGGTGGAAGGGATAATCACTGACGTGATAGGCCGCCCTTACAGCTTGGGGCCTGAACAGGTCATACTATTCATGCATCTTGCCCAATGGCACAAGCAGGAAAGACAACTGATATTCCAAGTGCTCATAGCGGCAGTAACCCTGATAGCCAGACAGTGGAAACAACCACAAGCACCCAGCAAACACGATCTCCTAACACAAACATCCACAAACTGGGAATATGAGGCTATGGCAAATAAATACATTACAAATAACCATATGACCATAGACACAAAAAACAAATGGGAAAAATACATTCAGAGAAGTTCGCACCACTCCAGAACTCAGGACGCATAGGTACGCTAAGACAAGAGAGTTGGAGTAGAGTACCAAAGCCAGAGAGACGGGGAACGTCTGAGACTTGACCTGGGAGGAGGTCCTGACACATAGAACCAATGGTGCATTGGAGGTAGAAAGGTAGAACCAACAACTAAGAAGCATGGGCCCAAAGGGAGGGCAAAGAGGTACACCACTTTCAAGAGGTCTACAAACTAAATCTCTTCCCCTTTCTTCCCTTAATTCTTTCCCATCCCTTCTCTGCACACCCTACCCCCACCCCCCCCCACACACAACTACCGTGCTACAACTTAATGTGTAGCTAGTCAGCTGCTCTAGCGAGCAACCCGCTAACAGTTCATGTACGCCCAGCCCAGACGCGGCCACCAGACAACCACATTACACTAGCTCCCAAGGGGAGAAGAACCCAGACTCCCTGCAGGAGGCCAGTATACAAGGGCAGGGGGTCGGCACAATACACATGGGATAAGGGCGAGCAACACAACACGCGTGTCGCAAAACTAAAACTAATTTACCCACCAGACGCGGGATCAACCACACACGTAGCGATACTACGCCCAGCACTCCAGACTACACTTGCGACTCTGAGAAAGGTAGCAAACACGGATTGGGAAAAAATGAACATTTAAAGTGTAATGGTTGAATTGTATACGCTCGTGTTGGAAATGTGGAACGCGGGATGTGTGATGTGAACTATGTGATGTGATATATGTATAATGTACATACCCATGGCAGAACGTGTACGTGTAAACAACGTTGCCTAGATCCCTCCCCACCTCTTCCCTTTTTATTCTGTACCCCCCCCCCCCATACACTGCTTTTTGATGTATGACAAAATAAAAATTGTCAAATTGAAAAAAATAAATAAAAAAAATATTATCCCAAAATAGGCCAGGGCCATCGTAATCCCCACCCTCTGGGAACTCATACTGTGCCATCTCGGGGACACACTGAGCTGCGTACCACTGTATCACCTGGTATGCGTCGTCGAGCCACACTTCTGCATATACTAGAATCTCGAGTCTAGTCACCCACGCTTCCAGGGGCTGTTTTCCCAGGAGGGGCCATTCAAGCCAGGATTCACTGCCTTCTGCTGAGGCGCTGATCACCTCGCCAATACTGTACTTTCTCCAGGGCTTCATCCCACAGCTCGGCTCTGGCAGTCTCTCTGTACATCTACATGTCCTCCTCTGATACTGCTCCAGACCCCAGGGATAATAACTGTACAATCTATCTTGAAGCTTCTTCTCCATTTTCCGAGTTCCTTTGTAGATAGGGGCACTGTACAGATACTAGCGTTACCCTCAATTATACGTTCCTACGACACGGTGTCTCCGAGGTGCTTTACCTTGCACCAGGTAGATAACCCACCGCTTGCCACCAATGTAACGGATCACCTGGCACCCCGACTGGGTACCTCCGTTTAAAGATGCTCCTAGTGCTTTCTGAGGGCTCCAAGCACTCTAGCAGACACCACAACCACTGCAGGCCGAACCTCTCTTCCTTCAGAGCGAAGCAGGAACAAGCTCTTAAAAGAGCTTAGGAGTGATTATAGCAAGGGAATATGCAAAGCATAGCAATCCCTTGTAGCAGATTCCCCCAATAAGAGACAGGACTCCAAATTGAGGGTGAAGTAGAACTGAAGCTTTAATCCAACACTCTGCTTTTATGCACGTTTTACACACATAGTACTGCCCACAGGGTTTTGCAGAACAACCAATCAATACGTACAATACACTCAGACACTCCCAGCAATTACACACAAAATCCTCCCCTCTGCCTGTGATATAATTACCGAACACAACGGACTAACGTAATTATCACAGGCAGATAAATACACAATTT